ATAATCTACGAATGACGAGAATCATAGACAGGAAAACAGATGAATTTATTACAAAACATATCAAAGACAACGCTCGTACAGGTAAGTCGATGATAAAGCCGAATCCATCGTGTTTTTAGCTTGACCGGCACTATAATCGTTTTCGTTTCGGCGCCCCTTGCTCCTCGACCTCCCGCTCGCACTGCTTGGTATGTCTGTGATCGACGATAAAGCCGAATCCATCGTGTTTCTAGCTTGACCGTCTCCTCCTGACTCAAGGTATACGTTAATGATGTTATGTACTATCAGGTCTCCAGATCGACAGTGACGACAATAAATTTGTCTGGTCGGGTTTTAAAGAACTCAGTTATACAAACTGGAAAGGGAGCGAACGAGCGCCAATCCAAGGACATTGTGTATCTCAAACTAAGACTGGATGGGTCATGGAGGAATCTACCAAGCTACGGCCATCTCTCTGTGAACATGGTAACACAAAGCACTGATTATACATTATTTATAATACGCGACAATTGAATACTATAGGATTGAATAACTAGGGGAGGGGTAAGTCATTGAATACAAGAAAAATACATACCGTGGGATGGGAGGGTAAGTAATTGTATACGTACAACCTCGTTTCCAGGCCCGCTTTACTTCGTTTAAGGCCAGGTGCAGAAAAGTCCATTGCATCAGTTCTATGGATAAATGATCTTTTGTATCTAATAAATAATCGTTTTTTTTTTTCGCTAGATGCAAAGATCATCTATCACTGCAAAGACCTGTTCAAATATGGCGTATCTGAGAGTGGTCTGTACGCCATATCTGGATCATCAGTTTATTGTGACATGGAAAATGATGGTGGAGGATGGGAAGTTATCATGAGAAGATCCAACGATGGTGTAACTTTTGAACAAGAAAACTGGGCCAGTTACGAGGCAGGGTTTGGATCAAGAACGTCGAAAACATCTAGTTTTTGGCATGGCAACAAATTGATATATGGTCTAACTTTTAAACGTCACAAAAGCTTATTAATCAACATAGTACTTGCCAATAACACCAAATATTACGCTTTTTATGACAATTTTGATGTCCTTCACAGTGGTCACAGGTATATGTTGCAAGTGAGCGGTTACTCAGGTATGTGATTACCATTTTTAAGAAGTTCATAGTCATTTACGGCATGGACTGATTGGTCGTGGTCTTCTCTTCTCGGTTTGACCAAAGGGTGACCCTAAATAGAGRTCCGCTTAATAGAGAGCGAYCGCAAAATAGAGGGCCGCTTRATAAAGAGTGATCGATAAATAGAGGGCCGCTTRATAGAGAGTRATCGCTAAATAGAGGACTGCTTTAATTCATAGAGGGCAATCGTCTAGTCCTACGCAATCCTCCTTCTTTCAATTATCATAACATGCAATCTTTCAACAGGCAATGCAGGTGACGCACTGAGTGATCACAATGGCGCGAAATTCAGTACTCCAGATAAAGATTTCGATAAAAATGATACTGTTCACTGTGCAAAAGTGTAAGTATATAGCATCCACTCCTTGAAATTATGTTCCTTATTGTACACAAGTGACAAGTTATAACGATTTATAAAAAGAGCATGATACCTGCACGGCATCGAGATTCTTCAGAATTAAGGGAAGCTAGCCTAAAAATTACAGTAATATTTTAGCAGTTTGATTTTGCTGTTCCACATGACGCATCTGAATCCTTGCCACTCCTTATCACATTTTCACTRCAGTGAAAAATACATTTGAAAAATATATAAAACTTGGTCGATATAGTGCATTAACTGTCATTGGGCCTGGGATTGTTTGTTGTTGTTGTTGTTGTTGTTGTTGTTGTTTGTTGTTGTTGTTGTTGTTG